TCGCCAATACTTATAGACTAGAGTTTCAAAGAAATTATTTGTAACCATTATTTATTTATTCACAACTACCTTTTGCCCACGGTTACGCCCGCATGCCATCTTTATCGCGATGCAAAGTCGCCTATGTCCTTTAAAGTTATTTTTGTATTTATAATAGTATTAGTAGAGCTCACAGACACGCCAATAGTATACATATGCAACATTTAAAACCATAACATACAGACATAGTTCTTATAAGTAGATCAATAAAAGCCGTACACGCACACTAAATACTCAATCATTGCGTTCCATAATGTACATAAATAATAAAAAAATATATAAAAATATGGAACTATTAAGGACCCTGTCGGGTACAGCAAAAGGTTAGGAGAGGGGAAGAGGGCTAAGTAATAACTTTATAACTATTAGTGCACACAACTAAAAGCGAATTTTCATATTTCTATATATTGAGTAAATAGGTACATATACTGATATATGTAATATATAGTAATACATGTAAGAAATATATTTGTATTAAATAATATTTATTTATGTAGGTATTATACTTATTTATTGATTTTGCATGAGTTTATCTTATATATCACTATACATCAATAGATTGAAAAAAATATCTTTAAAGTTTGGAAGTTTTTGGTCATGAAAAATATCTAACTGATCGAGTTTACCATTTAAGCTATTATATTTGTTACACGCAAGTAATATAGGTTAATTTCATTTAAGGTTAGTTCTAGCTTTTGGGATGTTAAAAGATCTATTTACATGGCAAGGTTATAGTTTAAAATGGACTGCTATAGTAATAAACGATTGAATATGATGCGATGATCAATGATGTTTTTAATTTTTTTTATAGGAAAGGCAAATCATAAACGTGACGTCATGCAATATTACATCTATCTGACAATGAGGATGAAGAAAACTTACCTAGGCTGTAACTACATATGTGTGTAAAATTTCGGGCTTAACTAAATGTCGCGTAAATGCGCGTTGTATATTTTAAATTTTCTTAAAATGCGCTATTTAAAAGGAGCTCAAGATTACGCTCCCATATTCTGAAATACGCCAATCAATAAATTGTACGCTATGTCTACGATCGCATCGACATATGAAGTAAAATGGAGTTCGTCTTCAATAAATCATTCCAAAAGGAAAAATATTTTGCCTCGATGCAAAACATCTTCATGTTATTCTACGTATCATTATCTTAAAATGGATTACCTCCATGTAATACGATAATGTTTAGAAGGTAAACAGATAGTTGGAATACGTAGAATACACAGTTAATTAAGTGCCAACACAATAGAAATCAAATATTGGCATTAAAGCTCTGTTAGAGGTAAGACGGTTAAACCAATGCGCAAATAAATGGGCGCAGGTATTGCCTGGGGCACTCATAATAGAAAAGGTCACAGCCAAAGGTAGAGATTTCAAAAATTGCTTCATTTACAGAATAAACACTGACATTCATGTAATAGGACCTTGAATGTTCTCGCTGTTTCTTCAAAGATGGCAGTTTTAGTAGCCTGTTCGTGGAATTTCGAATGGTAACACACGTGCAAAGCTGTAGTGTAAGCAAAGTATTTTTTTTCTTAGTTCTCATAATGTCTACTTTTGTGCCAAATAAAGTGTATTTGCGGGGAATTTTATTGCACTACTTTATTCAAAAGAAATCTGCAGCTGAAGAACATAGAATTCTTGTTGAGACTTATAGTGACAACGCTTTGTCGGATGCGACATGCAGAGACTGGTTTCGACGCTTCAAAAATAATGATTTGGAACTTGAGGATAAAGAACGTTGTGGCGCACCGAAAAAATTTGAAGACGAAATGTTGGAGGAATTACTCGATCAAGACCAATGTCAGACGCTTGCAGAACTTGGAAAGGAAAAACTTACATTACAGGTAGATGAGTCAACTGTTTCAAAACGTTTTAAAGTTTTAGTAATGATCTAGAAGCAAGGACATTGGGTACCGTATGAATTGAAGCCGAGAGACGTCGAACGTCGTTTTCCCACGAGTGAATTACTGCTTCAACGGCAGAAAAGAAAATGTTTTTTGAACCGCATCGTAACTGGTGATGAAAAGTGGATATACTACGATAATCCAAAGCGTAAAAAATCGTGGGGTAAGCACGGCCATACATCAAAATCGTTTACAAAACCAAATATCCATGGTTCAAAGCTTCTTCTCTGTATTTGGTGGGATCAACAGGGTGTAATTTATTATGAGCTGCTCCAACCGAATGAGACTATCACGGGGAATCTTAAAAGTAAAACGGCCGCTATACGAGCAGAGACACGACAAAGTGATTTTCCTACATGACAACGATCGGCCTCATGTAGCAAAACCAGTGAAAACCTACCTGGAAACGTTTCAATGGGAAGTTCTACCCCACCCTCCGTATTCACCTGACATAGCCCCTTCTGATTTTCACCTATTCCGTTCGATGGCACATGGCCTAGCTGACCAGCGCTTTCATTCTTATGAAGAAGCTAAAAAATGGATCGATTCTTGTATAGCCTCAAAAGACATGTCGTTTTTCCGACGCGGCATTCATATACTGCCAGAAAAATGGAAGATGGGCAATACTTTGAATGAAATGTTTTTTTCCTTATAATTTAAATAAAGCTTTTATTTTGTAAAAGAAACAGCGAGAACTTATTCAAGGACCTAACATTAATTGCTTTAAACTAAGTACAAGTGCTACTCTAATTACAAATATGAACAACATTCACATATACCTACTCGCAGACAACATTTTTTTTTTAAATAGCAACTTAACTTTATACATGACCTAAACTTATACACTTTACGAGATCAGTAGACTAAATTATATTAAAGTAAAATTGTAGCAAATTAAAAAAAAAAATTAAAATGTTTGGAATGGTTGTGTAAAATATCAAGGCCAAGTCTCCTCCAGCAGAGAACAACAGCTGAAAAGTAATAAAGCAGCTCGCTTTATTAATTTTCTACTAGCGGCTTGTATGCATTTGGCCTAATTGCGATAAAATATATTTACTTTTAACGGACCTGTTGGTCTAGTGGCTAGTGATCCTGACTATTAAGTGTTCGTGTATTGGATTGGATTGGATGCAGATAGGTCACATAATGTCACAAGAGCTTTGAGTCCAAAAATTACTGGAGGAGGTAGGTACTTGGCCCTACGGTCACCCAACTCACTTGATGCAATGCAAGGAAAGAATAGCTTGACATTGACTTTCTGTTTGTTAACACTCTCGTTGAGCTGGTCCTTGTGTGCCGAAGGATGGCTGTCCAACGTATAAAACACAGTCATGTTAGATAGAACATATCTACACTCTGCGTCAAGCATACAAATTGCAATTTACGATGTGAAATTTAATGTTATCTCACTCTGAACACGGATGACAAATATTAATTATTTAATAAATGCAAATCCGATTGTGTTGTTGAGTAGTCCCTTAACTAGAACAGTGCTATTCCGAAATGTACTTGAATTTTAGATTAAATTTTGATTACGCGTGGTAATATGAATATTCAACGTTATTTTGCACAAGCACATTCGGGTTGGTTTTAAAATTGAGGTCATTAACATATTAAATGAAACGTCCAGCATTTGTGTTTGTATTGTAACATAGTTTATAGTCAAAAATACATAAAAAATACCTTCTTCTTATAAAGATTTTTAATCTAAAAACTAGTAATAAAGAGCAGGGATACACTTTATTAGAAGAAGAAATTGAAATAAAGCATATATTTTTATGAAATATAAATGAAGACACAAAAATACACTTTATTTCAATTTTAAAGTACTGACAAAGTGTTTTACATTTATTAATAGCTCAAACTAACTTCTAACTACTAACTAAAGAAGTCGATCATTTCAGATCATTAAGACACGTGTATTATTAATTATTTTTTACTTATTTTTTTATTTTACACGTGGAGTCTAAGAAATTCATCGCTTAGCAAGGTCTTTTCTTCCCGCAGTTACAAGTCATCCACGTGTTCTAAAGCCCACTTAAAAAGATATACCTATCAATAGTACCCGACTGTCTCTTGGAATCTATTCTTGTTTTTTCCAATTATGATGGTTGTTTTTTGTGTCATTGAACAATTCATTTATTTAATGACACAAAAGAACAACAACACAAGTGCATAAAGTTGTAAAAAAATAAATTTATTTTACAATTATATGACGCAGACATGAATGGATAACGATAACAACTATTTAAAATTTAATTAATTTGCAGATATCAAACGTTATCCCCCATTTCAGTCTAAATAATTAATTACACAGCCTTCCTACTAAGGGCCCACTAATAAAAATGCTCGGCGAAGCGGGCTTTTGATTAGTCCTTCTTTTGAATTCAGGACAATATGCGCAGAGAACCTGCCTACACCATGACTACCAACTAAGACATTTGTAAAATGGAACTAGTTTTTTCTTGCTTATATGCTAAAATATAAAGATTATGTTATGATCATTGCATTATTATATATGTATAATATTATATAATTAATATTTACTTACATTTTTTTTTATATGGATTACCTTTTTTTTCCTTCATGTTTGTGGTGTTCCAATTCCACTTATCAATTCTGATAGCACTTGAAGATTCCAAACAGAAAAGATAAATGATCAAATCGCGGATATACGAAGTAAAACAAAAAAACTAGGTAAATCGATTAAGGGCCAAGTGTTAAGTGTAAAGTAAGCATATTATATACTTATAGATCAATTTAAGGGTAAATAGTTTAAACGAGTTTATTATCCACTAACATAAAACTTCTAAATACCTAATATAATTGCTGTAAGTGGTTGACAATACTGTGATAACATTCCTAAGTGCTATGTTTTGTCTTGTCAAATTTTTAGATTCGACTTTATATATCACATGTATTTAGGTATATAGTTACAGGTGGTAGAATTAAAAACATCAAGTAACACGGTCGTTTTTTTTTGCTGACAGAATGCGGTGGCATGATACAAGAAGTGCAGGCTGAGTTCGAGAGCGACGTGCGATGAGCGCTCCGGAGCCGGCAGTGCTCAACGCACTGAAGGGCTACACGGAGAACAGCGATAAGTGGCCTGGACCTCGAGCTGTCAAGATTTACGTTACCTCTGTTTACAATGGTAACCTAACTAACCTATTATCCTAATTGCTGTAATTATGTAGTGTTCTATACCAAACTACTATCAAAATGAGACAATGAAAATAGGACAATAATGCTTACATAACGAGAGCTTTTCCAATGATTGTAAAAAAATTGAAATAATAATTTGGTTATTATTAATATAAACTCTACAAGACTATTCTTACACTCATGTTTAACACCTGTATTGAAAATCCATTAAATTAACCAGCATGACACATAAATATGTCCTTATCTATCATTGTTATTATTACAGTTTTAAAAATATATTGTATATAAATAGAATATAATATATGTAATACTAGCTGGTGCCTGCCACTTCGTTCGCGTGGAATTTGAAAGGGTTCAATTTCCGGACCGGCCAAAATTTTATAGGGTTTTTCTTAGAGAAAAAATAGCCTAAGTTACTCCTTACTTGACAGATACGTGGTAGTAAAATATTATCAAAATCGGTCAAGCCGTTTTGAAGATTACCCGGAACAAACAGACAGACAGATAGACATACAAAAATCGTTTAAACCGGTTTTTAGGCATAGGTATCGTGTAAATAAACGTGTGGGCATGAAAAATAACTATTATTTTGACATTACAAACAGACCCTTCGATTTTATTTATTTGTGTAGATGTATAGATATAGATAATATTATTATTTATTACATAGTTATTTTTATTATACTCATACGATTATAAAAAAATAATATTAATGATCACTCCTTTTCTACGTCAACGACTTTGATGGACATCTTTTTCTAGTGATTAATAATTCACCTGTTTGTTGACACCTGACTAACCCAAATACCTTTCTGTCACCAATGATTCCATAAACTCGTAGTGACCCCGTTACGTGGTCCTGTTACGGATCAATGCGTTTCAATAATAAATAATCATAATAATTGATTGACATTTAACCTGTTGAATTATATTGAAATCAAAATAGTAAATAAACTTGAAATACATTTTCATTGTAACGTTTATGTATTTTTTTTTAAATATTATGTTGTTCACAGAATTCCGTGAAGAAAGGCGTCAAATCCTGGAATTGGTTGGGCCTGAGCTACAGTCAACTTACGATGATCGACATATTGAGGTAAATGAAAACACACGTTGCAGAGTAAACCTTCTTGTGAATGCCCAGTGCTAAGGCTATTACCACGTAAATTGTGAATATAAATTCGATCTATCTTGAAGGTATAAAATAATCCAAAGTACCGGATATTAAACTAAGCTAAACTTCTTTACTGATCTCCATGAAATTTATCATGTTCTAATGAAATAACATTTCACTTGAATGCTCTATTCTAAGACATTTTTCCAGGCATATGTATTTGCAGGCCTTTTGGTTCGCGGAATCTCACTTCACTTTATCCGGGACTTTATTATGTAAAATCAAATTGGTTCGTGTGGATGCTAATTGGCCAAATTCGTCATTTTAACTTGCTTGCAAACAGTCTACTAATGTGTTATGAGTTTTTTTATACAGTGGTGTCTTATTAACACTTTTTGCCCTTTGATGAGTATGCTATAATATGATTTATATTAGGTATAAGATTAATGTTGAAAACTTTGCCGCGAAAATAAAAACTATTAGATTTACAGTTATACGAAAACAATTGTTACAAACTTCTAGCACCGAAAATGATATCAAATGAAATTTGTGTGCAATAATTAATAATTGTGCTTTTCTTTCTTCTTCGTTTACTTGAAAATCTTTCCATAAATCGATTTAATAACATAGATAAGTAATAACAACATAATAGAAATAGATTTCTTTATAAAATTACGAATTTCCTGTATCATGCATCTCCAGTGAAATGCTCGTTACACAAGTTGTTTCCACAGAGTTTCATTCAATCTAAACATTTACTTAGGTCTAAGCTCGCCCTTCACTTCACTTCCCCGGTTCCTCAATTTTGCGGCTCTCAGCTTTAACAACATTAGTTGTAAAGTAAGTGCCCTTTGTTGGTAACCCCATACCCAAACCTTAAACTACCAAATGGTAATTACCTCCCTTATAAATCATGATGCGAATACCTGAGAACCCAAACGTGTGTAACAAGCTTTATAAAGTTCACTACATAACAGGCTACACTTACGGCTCCAAAACTATATATCGCATTATAAGCAAAAATTCACGAATGTGAAACATTCGTGAATTTTTGTGTGTGAAATGAAATGTTTCAACCATGAACGTAGTGAAACTTCTAGACGACAGCGGCGCCTGCGCAGGAGTTATGATACACACTAGGGTTGTCAACTGAAAGTAAAAACATCTGAATGCTTATAATTTTGAAGTCTGTTAATGCCAAATATAGAGCTCCAATCTCCAGAGCTCGAATTAATTTCTTTCTTGGAGCTCTGGCAACTTATTCGCTATAAAATAATATGACACTACGACGGTGTCACAGCAGTGGTCGTTTACCTACAATCTTAACATGATTACCTACTAACAGACTACGAAATAAATTTTAAATTAGCTACTTATAACGCGGTGCAGTTTTTTTAAATTTCAAACAAAGCTGCAAGGATGGTTTAGTGGTTTAAGCGGTCGCCACGCTACTTCCTACTACTCCGAGTGTTGTGGGTTCGATCCCCACACTTTAGTAGTCAACAAGTTGTTGTTCTGAGTCTGTGTGGTCTTTGTGTCCGTTTCATGTATGTTTTTAAAGTCTCCCGAAACACAGAATATGCGGCAGTTGTTTTAAAAAATATATATTAAAAAACTTATTTGCGACATATGTTCATATAATTTAGTACGTAGAATCTTATCCCTCAATACTTTGTATGATATAACAGAGTGAACAGCCCTCGTCACTCATAAAAGTGTATTAGCCGGCAGAATATAAATGGACGTGTAGTTTCAACTTTTGACCCGCTGCTTGAATATTGTATCAACATTCAAGTAGCAGTGTTTCGTTCATACACTTACCATATATAGAATTTGTTGTATATAGGAAATCCCACCAAAAACATTTTCATGTAAAATGTTGCCAAGATGATCATCAGATCTCATGTAGAGCTAAACTTCTAACTCTACACGCCTTAACTCTGCAAGACCTAACTTTATTAACTCTACACTTTAGTCAAAATATGTGGCTGAGACTACTACTACTAAGAGACAAAAAATGTGAAACATTAAAATTATTTTGTAGAAATAATTAGTATAAAGGATAGCTTGTGAAAGAAAAATTGCGACGCATCGTCACACAGCACTACATGTTAATTATCGTATAGCGTAACGATGCATTAGATCGCCTGACTCTACGCATTAGATATTTTACATCAAAAAGTGTAACCTGTTTGTTACACATTAGTTGAGACTGTTACATATTACTGAACTTCTAAAGCGGTTTCATTACGACACCACAGGTGCTTTTCATGATCATATAAATTTTGATTTAAGCCGATTATGTCATGTTAATTAATTAAATCTATATCTTGATGGCCTGGGCAATTTGCTTTTGTAGTTATAATAACAAGAGTCAATGAAATGATACAATTTTAAGAGCTGTAATATATTTTTGTACACTATATTTTTATAACATTTGTAGTTTGGTGATGTATGACTACTGGACTGCTAATGCTACATTTTCACCAAACTAATGTCGACTGTGTGAAGAAAAGAGTAAAAACCATCAAAATATATGAAATGAATTCTTTGTATCCCTTGTGATTACTGTGGGATTCGGAATACATAGTTCAAATTTAGAAGAAGTGCAAAAAGCTTAAATTTTTATTTAACACAACATTTATTTAAGGGTGTATCTTTGTATCTCTAAAAAACCTTTAGCTTCTTAAAGTATTCAGACTTCGTCACAGATACCCACGGTATCAAATATTCAATCTGGAAGTAGGCTAGTGACGTAAACGTTGACGCCTTTAGCTAACACTGCCTTCCCGCCGTGTCGTGACCTTAACAAATATTATGTTTAAAAACAAATAAGTAAACCAAAACAAATATTTTCCTAACAAACATTTCTGAACAAATTTTAGTACTGTACTTTTTTCATCGAGAAGCAAAAGCGGCTTATGTAATTTTAATATATTACGGACTTTTAGAAATTTGGTAGAAATGAGAAAAAGAAAAACATGTCATAAGTATACAGTTGTAAATTAAGTTTTAGGCTAGTTAAATCATAAACGCAAAAATCACTCTCTCTATCAATCTGTTATATATTTTACGTTTAAACCACTGAAGCTATTTTGATTATAGGGAGAGACGAGAATTCTATGAAGAACATAAGCTAATGTACGGTGCGAAAATATAGAGATGAAGTAAGGAATTAAGGTTTATATGAGACAAGTTCTAGTCAGACTATTAAGTTAAACTTTCTAAGTAGTAGTAATTTAATTATGTACTTACACATTAAGGGACCTGTGATAGTACAACATTAAAAATTAGTGATATTAGTTATAATCGAAAACAAAATAATAATGTTAATTGCGGTTTAAAAAAAAAAACAAATGACAGGTTTTTATTTTTATGACATTTTTAAACGAAATCCGACAAACTGCCTGTGTCTCATTGTTTTTAAAACTACTTCGCTATTCAGCCTGAGACGATAGATCTTTATGAGGTTTTAGATAGAAAATGTTAGATCTTTTATTACAAAATATTTATTATCTACAACTATTCTAATCCCTTCAGAATGACTAAGATGTTTCGAAACCAAAGGCTAAATCGTTAAGAATTTTTCGCTCGCAAATATGCCTTTGATTAACTTGAGAACTATTTGCCTGATTCAAGTTCTTAGTAAAACATTTGCTTCAAAAATAAAAATTAAACGATTACTTTTTCGAATAACTAAAAACCACAAAGTGTTTTAAGGTGAAGTTTAAAAGTTATGTCTTCCTGACGATAGTCAATGCGAGTTACATGTGTGCGCACCTGATCTGCTCGAACTTTTCATACATTATCCAATTCATCCGTACAGAGAGTATTGTTTTTCTTTCATTGTCTACTCGTATCTCTTACCTTTCCCGTTCATGTTATGTATGAACGGGAAAGGAAAAGACCTCTGCTTATCCCTTCAGGGGTGAGAGCAGTGACAGGCGTGTTTATATTTATGTGTTCTGTGAACATTTTAATAGGATGACGGCGTGTATACTTTATGATAATTATATTTGTAAGACCAGGATGATTATTGTTGCATTAGATTCCCTGCAGTTCAGGGTGCACACCCCGATCCTATTACACAATTAACCTCGTTTTCCTTGAGTTGATGGTATTTCTCTAGTACTCTATTCTAAATTGATCTTAAATTTCGTGATAATTTTGAATAGAACCCAGAACTAGTACAGACATTAAATATACTATCCATACTTTCATAATCTATACTTATATTATAAATGTAAAAGTGAGTTTGTTTGTTTGTTTGCTTGCTATGCTTTTACGCCTGAACCACTAAACTGAAACTAAACTGATTTCGAAAATTATTTCACCAATGTTTATTCGTATGCGTATCCCAGTCTAATGTGTCGTTTTAGTTATAGAACCTGCACTATCTTTTATCAACAAATAAATTAGACCATTAAAAAAAGTTACCTTTATTTAATATGAAACAAATTATCATCTCTCGCAAACTGCCAGCAGATGGCGCTGCAACCACATTTCAATTAAAAACAAATTTTATTAGACATAAAAAACTTACTGAATAAATCATAATTATTCTAATAGGCTTTACTCAGAACACTACACATTAATTTGAGTAATTTAAACCTTTTGAATAAGTAATTTAATATTTAAATTATTTCAAACAATCAAAAGTTTCTATTGCAACTACATGTTACAAATATTTCTAAAGCTTCGCGCCCACATACGTGTCTAGTTATTAATGCCGATTTAATTTAACAAAGATTTAGCCAACTGGTACGTTGATCTAATTAGATCAACGTACCAGTTGAAAAATGGCAGAAAGGTTTTTCATGTGTAAAAGTAGCTAATTAGCTACTTTTACACATGAAAAAGCTTTCTGCCATTTTCATACTCGTATTGCTAGTTGTGCAACAAGTTTTCATTTCATTGTGGGAAAAAAAAATCAAATCATCAAATTCACTTTGTGTTTCAATTATTTTTAGTAAAATTATGTATACTGAGAGGTATCAATTAACTTAAAGTATTCATTGAACCTGAATATATTTTGTTTCAGTTAATTTTGTGCCTTTGGCATTCTATTTCACAGTCGAAGATTGAATGGAGCTAAAGAGGCGTTCTTAGAACGACTAAATTATTCTACATAACTCACGAATATCAAACTTGAAAAAAGACTGACGACCTATTTTTAGCTCAAAGAATTCTTATTACACAACGCTACGATAAATCGGTGCCTACTAATCTCAGAATATACTAAATTAGGCACTCTAATTCTTCAGAAAAATCCAGAGGCACAGAGTGAGGAGGTTATTTGAGATACGTTTGTGTTGACCGTAATAACAGGGCATATACAACATGACGTCACAGATGTTAAGGTGTGATTTAATTAACAACGACACATTTCTCTGTTTTAACGTTACAAGAGGTGACCTAAAACACGAAATTAATGAGTTGTTTAAGCACGCAGTACAACCTTTATTAGTTCACTGCTGGACATACGAGTAGGCAGCAAAAAGTAAATCCCGAATACTTTGACTCAAATCGCATAGACTTGAAAGAAGTGTTTCTAGAAAGAAATAAAATAAAAATAAATATATATTTCTTACACATCTCCCAAAGATTGTAGATAAATATCTAAAGCAAATAATAATAACCAACAGACATTGTTTGTAATGTGGTAACCAGAACCAGAACCAAAAAAAAAAAAAAAAAAAGGCCAATTGTAATTGTTAGTCAGTCCAGTCCAGTCAGGATTACTGACCACTAACTCAACTCTCAGTATCCTTCATAATTTATATATTTATAAAATAATATAATAATTTGATAATTTATATAAAATATGTGAATAGAAATAAATTGTAAGTTAATAGTTGTTGTAAATTTTTATTACGAAAGTTGTGTTGGTTTTCCCAAAACAAACATTATTTTTGGTGAGACTTGTTAAGAATATTATTAAGTGCCACAAATAGGGTAAAAAAATCATCCCCGAGTTACACTTTATGAGATAACACAATCGGCATTCTAAGTAATATAATTTTCTCCCTAATGACGTGCACTAGCATTCGAGAGAGCTTAGCAAATTGAGTTTTACGATCACTTGTTGCTTAAGTGATACTCCTGGGATTTAACCAAATATAAATATTTATGCTCTCTTTAAGACTTTTATTCAATCAACTATAAGTTTGCATGATTTCTTACCATTTTCTAGAAATTCTTTTGCTATTCTTGGAGGTACCTAATAGTATTTAGAGTCTTGAACCCTACAGAACCCTCCTTTCGGACCGTCTACCGCTATAAAATCGCCTGCACGTATATAATTACAATTTTCTCGAATATCTAACCAAAAAAATACCGATATACAAATAAATGTTGTTCACTGATAAATGTAGCTAATGCAAGATCTGCAGAGATATTGTTCTATGATTTTTTTGATTAACTCTTATGAAACTGATGATGAAAGTTATAAATATAAAAATAAAACTATTATTACAGTATGTAGTATTAGAATTGAACGAAGTTTTAACTAAAATAGTTAAAACTTTTAACTATTTAACTAACTATTTTTAAACTCTAAATATAGTGAGAGTTAAATATAATATATTGATCGAGTGTTTCTTCGAATATTACATATAGCTATAAAACTTGTACATTTGTCGTACTTTAAATAAATAAGTGATTCGCGAGATATTCCTGTTGAACAAAAAAAATAATTCCTTGCTTCCTCCGGGGGCATATGACAATAGCGAAATTGTGGTAGCACCTCATAGACGTATTAAATCATAGATAAGTTAAAGTAATTCTTGATGAAATGTAATTTTAATATATTCTATAATCTCTAATCTTGCTTAAAAAGATTTAAATGGTACTAACATTTTAATAGAAATCGAATGTTGAAGTGAAACTTAGAATAATGCGGTCTGTATTTAAACTTCCTAACGCTTTTGCTTCAAGGTGTTCTTGGAATGTACAACACTACAAATACAAAGTCTTCAATTGAAGTTTCTTCGAAGTTATTTCGTTCGATTTACACGTATTTTACGTACGATTTTCATTCGCGTTTGGAATCAAAACCTTTCGTGCACTAGAGGAGTATCAACAGTTCACGCATTGTTCGTAAAGATGAATATTAAAGCAGCTACCTAATTATTGCGAAACAAGATAATGAAGATTGCATTAAAGTAGAAAAAATTGTCATCCTCCACTACGAAACGGCAGAAGGTTGATTTTTTATGTATGACTGCCATCAACTGACATGCCTCAGACTTTCACAACCCAAGTACTTGGCGATATCAAATTTTTGTAGATAGACTATTGTCGGACTCTGTTTAGAGTTCTATCTACCCGTGACAATTGCCTAGGCATCTCAATATATTAAGAATGATCACCCTTCCATAGATTGACCTGACTCATTAAATATATATATAAATATTTATCTTTGCTTAGATCGATTTCGTGGACATGCACTACGGCACTGACGGCGGAGATGAAACCAATCCGGCGCTATTACGTCACTATCTTGAAGAAATCAAATGCTGTAACCAAATATCGAAAGCTGGCTATTTCCTGGTAAGTCGTCATATTCAAATATTATAAATATATTATTTGCCTACATCAAAAATCTTCGTTTATTGGTAGCGTTCCCAGAAGACTGGCAGCATTGCCACGTTGAATGGCAATGCTAATTATTTACGCTAGAAAAAGGCCGGCCTTCTGATCACGGGAAGTCTCGATCAGTTCCTTAGCTAGTTGTTTATACATATCACGAGCACTGATTTATTTATTTATTTATCTTAGGAAAGCTTACAGACTAATATTAAGATACACGGCTGAGTAACGCTTAAATTGCTAATAAAAAGCTTCCACATATAAATAACCCAATAATAAACCACAGTTATACATAATATTCCCAGTTGATCTGAACAGCAGTGTCAGCAAAAAATAAAAGCGAAAACTAAATCATAGGCAACACAAAAAAAAAACAAATAAAATAATAATTAAAAGATAAACAAGGTAATTCAGTAGGCATATCTACCGGTCGCTGCCAAAGAAATATTTACTGAAAAGTCTTTTGACTGTAGTTGAATTTGTACAAAACAGATCTAAGTCCAACTTTGATGCCACGTCAGTATAGCTCTCAGCCGCACGCAAAAGATACGAGTTCCGCCTATAGTTAGCTACAGCAAAGGGAACGTGTAATAGGGGACGATGTCTAAAAACTAATTGATTCGTTCCAAGTGTGATATTGCTCAGCAATTCTGGACAATCAATGGTACCATTGGCGATGTTTATCAGGAAACATATGTCACTAACAGTTCGTCTTTGTTCCAAAGGCAAGAAATGATAACGCTTGCAACGTTCATTGTAATCGGCAGAGTATTGTTGGGCTTTAATATCTAAGTAACGCAGAAACTTACGCTGAATACCCTCTATGCGCGATTTATAAACTTGATATTGTGGGTTCCATACCTGTGACGCGTATTCAAGAAGACTACGTACATAGGCGCAGTATAAAATTTTTACAGTTTTTAGAGATCGGAAACATGTAGACATTCTCACGACAAAACCCAGTGCTTTCAACGCTTGTTTTGTAATATGATCGACGTGCATATCGAATAAAAGTTTCGAATCCATCACCACACCAAGGTCCCTAATGTGATCTACCTTCTTAATAAATTCATTGTTTAATTGGTACCCAGACCCAATTGTAGATTTCCGGCGTGTAAAGGAGATATAGCAACATTTAGCCACGTTAAGGTCAAGCTTATTTATTTTGCAGTAGGTTACAAAGTTGTCCAAATCACTTTGAAGCTGCTCGACATCAGAGGAATTATGAATTGTTTTAAGAATCTTCATATCGTCAGCGTATAAGAGTATTTGCGAGTTTTGGAAACAGCTATTAATATCTGTAATAATTATTATGAATAGCAGAGGGCCCAAAAGTGATCCCTGGGGCACCCCAGATGGGATTGAACACCAACAAGAGGTAAAACCTTGGACCACTACCGCCTGGGACCGATTGTCAATATAGGAACAAAACCAACGGTATAAATCGCCGTGTATTCCAGCGGCAAGAATTTTTTGTAATAATATTTTATGATCAATACGGTCAAAACATTTCATATAATCAGTGTATATCACATCCACTTGTGCCCCCTGTGCCATGCCCCTGGATATGAAATCGTGGGATTATATTAGGTTTGAAGTAGTAGTACGTTTTCGAAGAAAACCGTGTTGTTCACTACTAAGCATATTCTGAATCGCCAAATAAGTCTCATTATAAACAACCCGTTCAAGCACTTTTGCAAATAAACATAATTTTGATATTGGGCGATAATTTTCGATGTTAGATTTATCGCCTTTCTTTAATATGGGAGTTATGAAGGCAGATTTCCAGATCAGTGGAACTGTGCCCTCTGTCAAGGATCTACTAAAAATAACACAGAGTGGCACAACTAGGCTTTCCGCTAAACTAACTATAAAGATCGGTGGAATGTAATCTGGACCACCAGATTTGGAAAGGTCTAGGGTTTTCAGCAGATTTAATACCTTGTCTTCAGAAACATTAATTGAACTAATATAGTTTGAACAGTTACCTATCTCAGTGTGGTGATGCATACGGTTTGTATCTGTATTCTGCTGATCCCGAAAAGTTGATTTAAAATACATAGCAAATAAGTTACTAATTTCTACGCCACTTTTCGCAGTTACATCTCTATAGAATAGCGAACTAGGAAGTGATGATGTGCTTTTCTTGCTTTTAATAAAAGACCAAAAGGCCCTCGGGTTATTCAAAATAGATTGTTCTACTTTATTTATGTACTCATTGTAACAGGCTTTTTCTAGCTCAATTGCTCGCCGACGGAGTAAAGAAAACGTTAAGTAGTCACTTTGATTACCATATAATTTAAACCTTCGATGATACTTCGATTTTTCTTTTAAAAGTTTTATAAGCGCAGAATTATACCAACGCGGGTGTGAATTGTGTCTTACGGATTTAATGGGTATAAATTTATTTCTTAGAGCATATAATTTACTGTAAAAAATGTTCACCGCATCCTCCAGAGATCCAGTAGTCAACAGGTTTTAGGTCAATACTCCTTCGGAAGCACACGGTTTTATGTTTTTAAGGCGATGTTATTATTATTATTTAGCCGCAGCTTGTTACACGCTGAGACTAAAAAAAATACCTAAAAATAGGAGTCGCCATTTACGAAAGCTGGTATAGACTACGGTAATTTTATTTTTTGGACACATCTGAAATTTAAAGAAATTACTTACTATTTTACCATCGCCCCTAAATTACAAAGTGCTGAAGCGAGGAGACTTTCTGCTAATTATTTTTAATTGGAACAGGTAATTTGAGTTTAATAGTAGCTCGTTAAAATTTTCAAATAATTTTTAATTACTAGTGGTTTCAACAATTTAAAACTTTTAATGGAAATATACATTTTACAAAAAAGGTTCTTCAGTCGAATGCTTAAATAATGGAGTACTAAGATAAAATGGCATCAGGGGAATAAATGTTTTGACGAATAGAAGTACTCAAATAAGCCTAAAACCTGGCTGGAGCTGGACCTTCGGTGACCTTACTCACTCGGTGCAAGGCTTAGAAAAAAATATCTCGTCGTTCTGTGAGGTATCTCCTCTGATCGAGCCGGCTTCCCAATTCCCTTCTTATTTTTAATGCATGAGGACAAACAAACCTTATAAAATCATTTTTTTATATAAAACATTATAGTTGGTGGATTTTGTTACTACATAGTACATAGTGCAATCTATTCTTATTCGATTTTTTTTTTTTTCACCAGTGTCTCATTGGTGGTGAACCGTCGTTATACCAGCCAGTGCTTCCCTTCAAGATCCCAGAAGCGACATTTGACGAACTGATCAAGTCTGATTCACCACAGTCGGCCCTCGTTCGAGCATGCTACAGGTTAAACGGCGATGGCAGTTATCATCTTGAGGGAGATGACAAATGGTATGCGTCACTTGGTACTCAACACTTGAAACAACCACAATACAACAGTGAGCTTTTGTTTGTTCAGTGAGTGAGTTTTGTTAGAACGAGTATTAACCATACTGTCAATAGACGAGGAGCGTACGTTTGACAATTATCGATTCGGCATAACAAATTTCAGTTTAGAACAAACAATAGCTATTAACACACATCAACAGCTTTTAATAGCCCACTGCGAAGTTTAGTCCTTAGTCGGCTCTTACGATACTCCGTAGAGGAGATGACACCCCGTATTCTTAATCCGTTATGACACGGAATAGCTAATATCGCATAGAGCCATTAACTGTGCAATATATTAAGTAATATGTTCATGTGTATTGATCACATGTGGTACAACGTAGAAACGAAATTTGCTTGCTTATTTATTTAATAAATAAAAAAAATAACCTATGTAATTAAACTCGCCTACTGTCTGCTAAATATATGTATGATAATTTAAAACCATTTTTTGTCGTCTTAATTTTTGCTGTTTTTGATACCCGAAAATTGGTCAGTCTAGTATGCAAATCAAATATTTATAATTAAATATTTAAGTTATGAAGTTTACAACTATAATCAACTTATTTACAATAGTAGTATTAACACAGTTATTTGTAGTACATAGGTACATAGAATAATTAAATACTTTATTTTATATACGTTAATATAAGTCTACAGTCATTTCCTCTCATTGTTAGTTATTTTTTGTTCAATTACCCCAAAGAGTTTCATTATCATCAATTTCGTCTTCATGTTTCATCTATTTAGACCGTAACAATTTACGACCGTTGCCTGAGGACGACGTTACTCAGTGGGATCGTAAAATAAATAATTTATCGTTCAGCCAAAGAGGTTCGTACCATATAAGTATACTACCTCCGACTACGTCCCACAGATTATCTTTTATTGTGTCGACAAGGGAACTCAAAAGATAATGTTATAAAGAAGCAATAGAGAGTCGAGAAAATGGGCTATTCTAGAAATCGCCCTCGTATACTGGAACACAGAATGATCAAGATAGGTGTGGTATTGAGAAATTCTGTCCGTGTGTTCCATATTTGCATTTAATATTTGAGATTATAGTCTTATCTTGGTAGAAATAAAATTAAAGACATTATTTTGTTACCTTATGTAGCTTCTTGCATAGTGTCATCAGGTTTTATTAATTTCATGTTTTAGTGTTATACTTAATATACACACAACAAAAACTATTTATTGGTAGAAAGTGGGCAATAAGTTTATGTTATTTATGTTTATAAGGCAGATTCAACCAACCGTACGATACATGAACATCTAAGTAATTAAAAGAAAACTTCAGTAACTTAAAACTCTTATGAAATAGGAGTACAATCGGTAACAAAATCGTACTCACGTGTTTATTTCACGTAATCGTACACGACATTAACTGTAATAATTTCTACGTTTTACTCTTTTTAGTGAAAAGATTACTTTAGCCTTTTATTATCCTCTAGAATCAGATCAAAATTGCTCATACAGAATTAAAAATATTTTAAAAAGGTATTATATTGTTCAAGCTAATAAAACATACACGTCGCGAAGCCCTTAAACAGTTATCCCTAGTAAAGTACAATCATGCCTACAATACGTCATCCGATAAGGTGGTACTTCCTGTCTGTGCAGCAGACTTGAATGCCAATGATTACCAAACCTGATTATAGATAAGACCTTCGTATGACGTCTATTATTAGCTTTGAATTCTTTTAAATGGAATATATTAACAGGACAAATCAAACCGAAATATTATATTTGAAACTATAAATTACTTCTAGGATTTTGTTATTTACTAGGCTTGAAACTCTCTGTAAAAACAATATTAGTATAGTAGCGTGGCATAGTAGGCCAAAACTCTTATCTAAGGCCCACATCACAGGCCCAGTAGTAGCTATCAAAGGTTATTGATGTGATGTACCACTCATATTTCTCTTGGAACGATGTTACTTTCTTTAGAATTATCATTAACTTTTGTTTCTTTATCAGGTTCAGCAATTTGCTTGACCGTGAAGAACAACGAAGTCGACTCTTCGAAGTCCAAAAGGCTTTCAACGCTATAGCGCTTGAGGCCTTGCCAAAATGCGCTCAAGTTTCTGACCTCCTTCGAAGCCCCGTGGAGATTCAATGTGAATTAGCCTTGGGTAATCATAAAATTTCATTTTTATAGTTTAGTCATATTTTTTTTACTACTATGACTTCTTGAGTTTGCTTTTATATATATGTAACCAAACCATATAAATTCGTTAATGCAAAACCTTATCTTTGAATCATAGACTATTAAATCAAGACTTGAATGGTTTCAAACACACAATGAGAAAATATTTTTTAAATAATTCTGAAAAATTGTTTCTTTTATTTCAAAATCACTTTAAAATCCGTGTCTTACAGTCTTTACAACATATTAATATAAAATCAAAATGAAACCTGTTAATTTGCTGAGTACAATAGTGAAGTTGTACATTGACGGGCCTGTTGGTCTAGTGGTTAGTGACCCTGACTGCTAAACCGGAGTTCGTGGGTTCGATTCCCACCCAGGACAAATATTGTGTGATGAGCACGGTCATTTGTTCTGTGTCTGGGTGTAATTTATCTATAATATATATCTATTTAAAAATATATAAGGATGTTTATCAGCAGTCTGGTTGCCATAACACAGGCTCTGCCTAGTTTGGGATCAGACGGCCCTGTGTGAGATATGTTATTATTTAAAAAAAAACAAAAACTTATCACTTATCGTATCTAAAATACGTAATAATAGACAGTATTCCCGGCTTTATTTGACTTTAATATTCTTATCATTTAACTATGAGATTTATTGGGTACCCGGATCCACAAAGAGACTAGAGGACATTTCTTATTCTAAAGAGTCACGTAACCGCATTCTTTCATGATTGAAAAGAATCGGTCATGAAATAATTCAACGTCGCCACGCTCTATGGGTCGTTGGCTTGCTTTTCCATTTAAATATCACTCGAATCGACTTTAGATATTTCATTTTCCGTACCAACAAAAATGCTGATACCGATGACCTGTTTAAAAGAAAATAAAAGCACATTGGATTTGAAATGCCAAACCAATATTCATAGAATCATTCAAACATTGTGGAAGGTAACGAACTTAACTCGGTGACAAAATTGACACGTGCAAATGTCAAATTAAGAAATAATAATGCCTCTTTTGCAGTAATTTGACCTACGATACCAGTTTGTTGAATCACAACTTTTTATCATCGCTTAGGAATAGAAACCTTTAAAAGAAGATAAAAATCTTCATTTATAGTTTTCTATTCCTAAGCGTATCATTAAAATTCACGTACGTACACATTTCACACCGTGAAACTCGAATCGTTACCTACTTCTAAATGGCGAAAAAGGCAAATTCCAGATGAAAGAGACAATTGCAAAACACAACTCATTGAAATTGCCATAATGCACAAAAAAGTATGTCATCGACGAGATGACTGCTGAACATTATCATTATTTTGCGACTGCTCCCTTGCCACTGCGAACTAAACCCGATTGAGTTGCTCTGGGCTAAAGTAAAAAGACATGTTACTAGAATAATATAAACTTCAAATTGAATGAAGTATAAAACCTATTTCTAAAGTGACCCCGCAGCGGTGGACAGACCGTGTAACTCATGTAATTAAAATTGGAGATGCAATGTGTCATCTGGGCTGACATTACCAATAGATTTATTGTAGAAAAAGGTTGCGAGTCAAAAAAAAAGTTGTATTGGATTTAGAATATTTTTCAGACATTCAAACAGTCATTAACTGAATCTGATTAATAATAATAATAATGATTTATTACTCTCATCACAAAGATTCGTGTATATTTATAATAAGTAGGTAGTACTATAGTATACTATGAGTTACAGAATTTTAAACCTTTATGATTATGTTATTAATTAAGTAATTAAAAACATAAATATGTTGTATTATTATAAATATCTATACCTTATTAATTTTGCATTAGTACGTTTTAAATAAGTACTTGATTCCTAGTGCGGGAGTTGTCTTTTTTCTAAAAAAAAAAAAATACAACACATTTTTTTAGGATAATTTATTATACGCTCGGTAAATTGATTGCAACCATAGTGCGGAGCGAGAGTGCGTGGAACTCCACCGTCTCCTTCTGAGAGCAAATTATGCTTGTGAAGGGGATGGCGGCGCGGAACCGGGATAGGTTCAGAAGTCTCCTGGCCCGCCCCCTCCTATGTCAGTTTTGTCTCAGATATAAAAAACAGACCATAGTCAACTTAACAGCATAAAACCTTTTGCGATAAACTAGTTTGCATCATTATTCGGTATTCAATTCTAGTAGGTAAATTAGTATGTCACTTTCACTTAGTCACGAGCAACATACAATTTTTCAAAATAGAATATAAATTATTGATTTCAAATTCACCTAGAACACAACAAAGACGAATTCACATTCAGTAGACATTTATTTTGTGAAGGCTAAATTTCTTTAGCATTATAACTATTAGCATGTTCAGTACAATCTATTAAAACTAATACCGGAATTCAAAGAGATTTCAAGAGCTACACGACACGACTACCGAATCCTTAAACGTAACGGCATAAATCTTGAAATAAGGATCGTAGCCGCCCGATCCAATTACACGGAAACAACAGCAGAAACCTGTTTCGATACGTTTTATTTGTTTGCAATAGGTATTACTAACATAAAGGATTTTTACCTCACTCGAGTTACACGGGCGCATACCTCTTTCTATTAGGTCCGTTTTAAAAAACAATATGTGTTCGAGTTTTATGCAATGGTTCTGTTTTATTCACATATCAAATCGTTTGATTTGAAATGTGAATGAAATAATGGCAGGGAAGGACAAAATAGATGTTTATATTGTTAAGTAATGCAATGATTGCAAAAACAAATTTGAAAAAAAATTATTCGCTTTTTATCATATTTGTGTTTTCGATCGTTGCATCGAAGAAATGCGGCATGCTTTTGGATAGTACTTTAATATTGCAATTCATAGCTGAAATATCATTAACTTAATTATGTTATGTTTTAAAATTTGCGGAGGCAACAAAATAATAAAATAAAATTCAGACTTTGTACCAAATATAGAATGTTCCTTTCAAAATATAAGGTAAATGACCTTAATAATACTTTTTGTGAGAAATCTCTGGAGCCTTGTTCATAGATTTCTTCGTGAACAAAGATTACCTAGCGTAAATATAAAAATCAAAATAGAAGGTAAATGACCTCAATAATACTTTTTAAGAGTAATCTCTGGAGCTTTGTCATAGATTTTTTCGTGAACAAAGATTACCCTGCGTTACTTACCACCTACATCTAGCTTTCGAAGCTTGCTTCAGTCAGATATTAGGTTAGTTGTGATCGGAATTGAAACGGAACCAAAGAGCATCATTATAACCGAAAAGCATGGTGTATCTTTCAGTCGAAAGCAGTTTATTTGAAAAATTTCAGAGAAAAAATTTGATTCATCAATATATTCGTATTTATTAGTAAAAGAAACGTAATTATTAGCATTATCACCACATTTCAAGTTCATGGGACAATGGGAAATTTAACGTTGACTGTGAATTAAAAGTTTTGTAAAAGATGCTGATTTTGGCCATTATTATTCTCTTCGTTTATTTTATATACACATATTGATTTTTAAACTTATATTGCACTTTATAAAAATTAAAAAAATACATATTATTTAGAAATATTAAAAACTAAAAATTAAAAAGAGAAGAAAAGAATAATAATATTCTACCACATTCACACAACGCCATCTACTACAGGCTACTAGACAACTGATATAAATACATATTTACATTTTTTTCTAAATACGTACTTATTATACATAGAAACACCCAGACCAAAACAAACATTAAATGTTCATGCATACAAATGTTTGGCTTGAGCGGGATCGAACCCGCGACCTTTAGAATAGCAGTCCATTACACAAACCACTACGCCATCCGGTCGTCAGAATGTAGATTTAGTTAATCAACTCCAGTATCCCGCGGGACCAGCCCTTTTTCAGGATGAATAGTACTTTTGCCTTTTTCACTTGCGTGAAAGCGTAACACATAAGCAAACTTAATTTATTAAATTAGTTAGAATCAGAATCTTTATCGTAAAAAAATATAATCGTTGTGATTTATTACTCCTCTAATATCCTGATTGTCTTTATGACTCTCAGTGATCAAATTCTAAAGATCTAATACATACATTTGTTTGTGGTGTTGTTTACGTATTATATACTCACCTAATTTCATTATTATTTTCCTATACTTTCTAGTTATTTCACTATACTAATAATTGTGATTATTTCAGAACTCCTCTCAAGTGGTAATCATCCTAAAGGAATGATAGCAGTGTTTCGAGACTTGCCAGAATCTGAACCAGATGACTCCAAGCTGTCAGTTTTAGCACACACAAGGTTAAAAGAACTGAAACAAAAAATACAAGATGCATTACCAGAAACGCATGTTATAATCTTAGAGTAAGTGTGGTTTTTTAACAACAAAATAACTACTGAATAAAGTTTATCATCGTGTCTAGAGTAAACAAAACAGTAACATGCATATGTTTAGAAGTGGCTGATGAAATATACTGTCTTTGTTATATAAAGTCTAATGATGACAGCTTTATAATACACATAATATTTAACTTCCGTGACCTGCAGAAGCAACTTATATATTTCTGACATTAATCATGTAAGAAAAATTCTACCATTTGTAAAGTTTAAACATAAACTAAAACCATTTCGTTATACTCGGCTCAATCCCGACACATTTTCACATGCTTCTATAAAATCACGAAATTACAATACTATAAAAAAATATTTTAAATATAAACAGCTACATTACAATCACCATGTAAAGCTATATATATGTCTATTAATTAAACCTCTAAAGTTATAATAAAGAAATATTTTTCTCAGTATTATATGTCTTAGATAAAATACGACTGTAAAAAAATGCTGGGCAAGTACAAAAATAGAACAACCAAGTTTTTGTTTATCACTCAGTATTGTGAGCCATTCTTTTGTCACAAAAAAAAAATCCTATTTCGGCCTACAACATTATACGACACCAGTTATTCCGGCCTCAGAGGAAAAAAGATTTTGACATTCAAAATAAGGACAGGGATTCATTTTTTATACTTTTCTGAAGGTATAATCAACTAAATGTTTAATATTTAAAAACTTTTGATCACGATAAAGCTAAAATATGATATATTCGAAGTATTCGTATCATGAATAATTTATAAGTGAAAAGTTTACTCAAATCAATAAGACTTATTAATGAACACTTAACCTCTAAAGTTTCATTTTAAAAGCTTTAAAATTATAATATTATTAACTTTATTTTGCTTTCGCTAAAGTTAACACATTAATTTATTATAATTAATTAAGAAAAGGGTGATAAAGACATTGCGCGCGAAACTAATTTATGAAAAAAAAAACATTATAAACTTAAATTAAATTATTAAAAGCACAAAGGCGTCTCCAAATTTACGTAATAAGACATTAGGAAATCCAAATAATTTAATAGCCTAATATTTTTTTAGATCTTCATCAGCAGAATCATCGAGAACAGACGCAGCGTCTGACAATGACGAGAGGTTGGCGCCTTTTAGGGATAAAGTACAAATTGTAGTCAGTTCACTACTTGACGAGAGCCTTAGCACTGAACCCGATCAGGGCAAGGGAAGAAAAAAGACTGTACAGGTAACCATTCAATTATCACCAAAATCTTTTATGACGCAGAATTTTTTGTTAATAAATCTCATTTTATATTAAGTTTATCAACTTCTCAAAAGTCGTAAAATTCATATCCATAATTTTCATTTTAAGGCCTTAAGTCTACGCTAAAATATTCTGTGAGTTAACATACGACAACTTTTTGTTCATGAATAACTCATTAATTTTACTTTGAACTTGCAGGAAGTATTTCTGGAGCACATTACTCATCTTAGGATATGTATAGAACATAATCGTTTGTATAAGGTTAATGTTAAGCAAATTGAAGAAACAGCCAAAAGTATTTTACATAACGCTAAAGAAAATTATGAAAATCGAACACGACATCCACCAACACTAATATATGGGCCTGATGCTTCAGGAAAAACTACCCTGTTGACACATTTATATTTCCATTGTGAAGAAATATTTCCGAAACCTGTTTTGAGGATAGTAAGATTTTCCGCTTCTACACCAAGATCGGCCTATAACTTGGAGCTTTTAAGAGTTATGTGTCAGCAAATTTCCATAATTTTGAACATTCCAGAGGGGTACTTACCAAAAGATGCAAGTTTTGATCCCCTCTACATTAATAATTGGTTTCAAAGTTTGTTAAGAAAATGTGAAGAAATGGAAAATGAAATTCTGTTAATTTTCATCGATAATGTGCATAGAGTTAATCCTTTGGAGTGTGATATTGTGACTGGTCTATCTTGGCTGCCAATGTCGTTGCCAAGAAATGTGTTCTTAGTTTGTACGAGTGCCGTATCCTTGGAGCAACTGCAGTTAACGCCGGCACAAAAAGAAAAATTTAAGGTTCAGAACTGCTACCATTTACTGGACGCAATAGAAGAGACCCCGGAGAATAATAGCTACGGAGACTACATAGATAGTGCCTTCGATAACTTAGAAGTTGTATTCGGATCTAAAGCGTTTAGTAAATTAGCAAGTAAGTGGAGGTTAAATATTTAATTCGTTATTACATCAGGTATAAATATACAATAATTAACTTAAATTAGGTTAAACCAAGTACAAGTTATTATGTATTTGTAAAGAGTTAGAGCAAAACTTTTAATTGATTTTGCATATTCGTTAATGCATAGAAATGATTTATTTAGTTTATATAAAGTTAACAACTTTAGACTAAACTCATAAAATTTTATTTCTTAGGTTACATAACGTGTTCGGAGTTTGGTCTCACAGAGTTGGAGTTATTGGAACTATTAATGCCAATCAGCAATAGTGAGGCTGTTATTACGCTCAAAGACGCTAATTTCAACTTTTCCACAATTTGTGTAGCAAAATGTATGATGAGTAAGTATATTTAATATGTGTTTATTTTTGTAAACTAACCAAGACTGTGGCTTTATAGGTGTTATAGTTTAACCTAACTCAAATTTGTGACGTATAAACATATAGGTTATAAAATATTACCCAATATTAAAATTAGGTATATCAAAAATAAATCTTATTATTCAAAGTAGTACATAATAATTATTATAATTTATTATGGTTATAAAACGCATTGGAACGTTGTCCAAACTGGCTGACTCATCACCTTCAACCACGGCATAACATGATTAATGATTCTCGACTTTATTTTCTTTTTGGATTCAAACATCTATTTCCTACATATTTTTCTAAAAGTGTAAAATATTTATAATTATTATCCGTTACTAAATATTTAACTTACCATTGTGTAACTTCTAGTTACTAGCATTCTTAGAAAGTTTATAAGTATCATAAATTGTCAACGACGAAGTACAGAACGTTGCGTGACCTCCTCCTCGAAGAATTAGCAACTGATTAATATATATTAAAATTTTCACGTGTTTTTACGAATAAATTATCAAACATTGAAGTTTTTTTTATATATATTACATTATTATCATAATATGTGCTTTTATAAGACTCAATTTATTTATTCCATTCTAAATATTTGTCAGTTACCACTGGCTGATTTAATTTATATACTTTTTCCCAGACAACTTAATATCAGAAAACGTGGTCTCTGGACGTTACACTTGGAGATGGCGTGCTGCCGCTGCAAGTTCAAGAGCTCGACGACGTTACGTGCGATCCCAAGCTGCCTTGAGGGACGCCCATTCAGATCTTGCAGCATTACACTTCGCCAACTTCCTCCAAGACGCTGATGATACTGACACTTCTGACGCTCAAGAACCTGGTTAGTACTAAAATATTAAATGAAACGAGACACCGCTTGTTAAATATATTTATACAAAAGCTTTTCAAAAGAAATAATAATTTAAAACATATTAAAATGTTATAACTAAATTTAACAAATGAAATATGGTTATAATCGTATAAGTTTATAAATTATACGAGTACATACATGCTCAAATACTTACATTTCACAAGTACTATATTATACATAGCTAATATAATGAGGTTGAATACTTAGGTATTACCTTCATCACGAATTTAAAATACAATTTTAACATACCTCTACGTTTCCACCGGGCTGTACTGGATATGGTCGCAGGCTGATTAGTATATAAATATTTTATTATTTATTACTAATACTTGCACTAAGCCACAAAATCACGTATCTTTATAAACGCAAACAACTACGTGTACACCTCTATCGTTATACCACATGCGAGTAGATCAAAGTATACAGATATAGATAGTATTAACTTAGCCTAAGTTTGTCGGTCAAACTCCTTTTAGAACATTAATTCCAAATATTCTTGGAAAGTTAAGAACTTAATCCGACTAAGCGACTTTCGCATCCAATCCTTACTATCTCATTAGAGATAAGTGAAGAAAAATATTAGACGGATCATGAAAAAAACGATACCTACAAAAATACGTGTCACTACATACAGCGTAGAATTCAATTTGATTTTCACTTGGTTGAATTTCGTTACTATTGTAGTAGTACATACAAAGATAACTCTGCCATTGGAATTTCTTTACAGTAAACAAGGACATTACACTTTTTAAAGGTATCGTTTTTAAAGCAATTAAAAAGTATATTTTTTATGTAATCGGTTTTTGTTGATTTGTTTTTAACTTAAAGTTAATGACCTTATATCGTACTGCTCACTTGTTTAATTAGCGGAACAATTTGCTATTAATATAAAATTTTGCAAATGAAATAATATAGTTTAATTTTATTTGAATAAGCAATACACTTAATACAAACACACACACACATACACATCATATACATAATGTGTGTTAAATAAATTACACTAAACAACTATTATTATTATCTCATTAAATCTGACCATTTTACTGACAACTATAAACAAAATAAAAGGGAAACGCTGATAGAATGCTTGGCATGAACTACTAATACTAGGAAACTAGAAGATGTTTTAAATTTTATTTCGAATTAAATACGTACCTATACTGAAATATTATATTTAACGTAACATTTAAATTTATTTGACATGACTGGGTTACATTCGCTCTGACAATTTTCAGAACAGTAAACAGTTTATCTTTATTTATTATATGTATGTGTAATAAAACTAATTAAAATGATGCACGCATTTCACTATTATTAATTAAAAACATTTTTTTTCAAATATTGCTGTTGATGACAGTTAACTGACTGAGTCACTTAACTTTTTATTTTTATGTCTTAAATAGCCTTCGAATTGTTTTAATCATAATCACAATTTTTCAAATACGGACTTGAAGACGCTTTATACTAGTACATGAGTACGACACTGTGATTTGACTGGATTTACCTAAGGCCTCGTGTGGCCTTAAAAGTAGATGAAAACATACCATGCTTTAATAACTATCTTGATATTAAACTATTTGGATGCAACCTCTTAACAAAAAGCTTAGTTATTCCTAGTTTATGATTTCGGTCCAATACCATCCAGTACCAATTCAATATATATTTATCATGCCAAATACGTTTTAGTATATTTATTATTGCAGATTATTGTCTCAGAATATAGAAAAATGTTTCAACTGACTCATGGCAACTGTTTTAATGTTAATTGTACAAGTACTTGTAACGGGTTTCCGCAGCATTAAAGTTTAATTTGGCGCACATTAAATTTTGTTCAATTCATGCATTTTATATGGCACATTGCGATATACGTTTTACATTGATTATACAGGTACTTGCTGTATTATGGCTTCTAAGTAATCACCATCATCAATAACTTTAACCTTGTTTTTTTTTTCTTAACATTATTTATAGGTTGTGTAGATGATGATGATGCCCTCTTGGATTCGACTCCGTTTCATTCCGCAAGTAGAACAGCGGCAGCTTTCACACAACGACACGTAGAAGAATCCTGGTTACATTTACTACTAGCTGGAGACTTCTCAAAATTAAAGGATTTGACTGTCTGCAACTTTGACTTCTTACTTGCTGCGGTAAGTAATATTAACTTATAAACTTCCGTGTGCGTGTAAACTTCCTATATATATTTATTACTTCGGGAACTAACGCGATCAGTAGGTATAGTTTGACCGGGATAAGGCCGATCCCGAGCGTAGACGACGTCGTCGGCGATACCAGCCGTCGACAGGGCCGCAGGCTGCACGAGAGTGGGGACCTCTGGTGGCCGATTAACTGTTGCGGTAGGCGATACGGTGGAGGCCTTGTCGCGAAAATGCGAACGGTCCGCAACATGTAACGATTGAGCCGATAGGCGGTGGGAATCCCCGGGATAGAGCCTTACACCTCAAAAAAAAAGGTACTGTTTGAACGGCCGTGATATGCTTGTGACCACGCCATGTAATATCTATTAATCGCGTTAATTTCCAAGGTATTAAATGAAATAATACTTCTAGTATATTTAATATTAGCATGTACTATATAACTATTATTTTGTTAGCTCTATTACGAGAAAAAAACACATCACATTATCTCTATAGTAAATATACCCTTTTTTTTTTTTTTTTTTTTCGTGCGGAATACACCTCGGATACCACCTGTCGGTGGCACGTCGGGCTCGTACCGACTAAAACCGCACGCCGTCTCGAGTACTAATAGCCGGGGAACCAGGTATACCCTAGAAAGGAAGTCCCTGGTACAGTAGATATACCCCTAACTTATAAAAGGAATATTAATAAATATTTGGATAAATGTTATTATACACTACTATATTTTACTTAAGTTTAGTGAATTAGACAAGCTAAAATCAATACTTATTTTAATAACTACAAAGTATACTAATTAATTGACCAGGATAAGTAATAATTTACTTACACTAGAGTAATTAAAATACATATTTGATAAACTTCATGTCAAACGCTGTGCTATATTGGTACTTATAACTTTTCGGTGGATTAGTTTTACAGATACATGGCTGTATAATTTAAGTAAGCCTCAATTAGGTTAATTTTGGGTGTTCATTTGAAACACGTAGGTATGTTATAAACTATTCATGTTAAGTACTTAAACTAACGGAATAGGGTATCCCTACTTTATGTTTGATAGAATAAATATTTAATGTTTCATTATATCTAATACTCAATTATCATGACAAATGGAGTCTATAATAGTTATAACAAAAAAGAAAAACAAAGCAACTAAGCGTAATATTTACTTAGACATGTTGATCACCTACCAGACAAGTACATTTGTCTGGTAAAGCGATAATTGTACGATATTGCCTGGACAAAACATTCGTATCGCCCTCATTTATTATCCGCTTACAAGACAGATTATCTGTAATGGACATACATCAACATCTCATAAAATAATATTTGTATGATCTGCAAATATTCATTTCGGATTTTTGGTGTTTTCTATGTATAATAGGAAAAAAAAACATATAAGTATTCTATCAGTCAATCGGACAAGAAACCAAAGGGGTTACGAGTAAGTCGCCGCCTCTGTCGCTGGTCGCTTGGAGCTGAGCTTCCCCAGGTGCCGCCTGGGGTCTCACCTGGCTCGGGCTTTACCTCCAGGGCGGCATGAAGACTGAAGCAACCCCTCCTAAACAATAACCGAAGCTCGACAACTAGTCTAGGGGTAGATTTAGAAACCGCTGACAGGGTGGGTGCTACCGCCCCGAAACAGCAACCACGCGTCCCCTACGGGGCGGTGTGAGGACCTCGACATAGCTTTCATAGTACAAGCTCTGCTTAGTTTGAAACCAGATGTCGTGGCGTTGTGTCAGATGTCCGAAAATATTATAAAATATTATTTATTCGACTGATATATATCACAGTGTAGGACATTTCGGTTTAAAATAAATCTTAGACAATAATTAGACTAAGTTACACTAGCGTAAAACTATAGTAGTGTTATTTTATTCTTATGATTTGTATCGTATGATTTTTACACATAAAGGTATTAAGATTTCGTTCAAAGCTTTAGTCGCTGACTACCTAACTAGGGTAAAGCTGTGTTTCAGGCGATCGATCGATTCGATATTATTGTTATTAACAAGCTTTTTTTGATGCTTGTTTTTTTCTAATATAACAAAACTGAATGTTATTTATGCTTTCACGAGAAAGTTTATACCAATATATTTATTAATTATGAAAACTTTTGCATGAAATGCATATATTGGTATAGATTTTGCTCGTTATTTTTATGATTATGTTATGATTTCAAAATATTTATTAAAGATTTAATACTATCAACTTAATGTCGAATGTACATCTCACTAAGAATTGATATTTTGATTCATATTCTTAAATAAGAATTTATCCACACAGAAATAATTAAACACAAACGAAATGCCTAGAGATAACATATTTTTACGGACAAGCCTATTGGCATATATTTTAGGAATTATACTGGAAGTATATTGAAAGTGAAATTTACTTAAGAAGGAAAGGTAATAGAGAGTAACATATCAAGTCGTATACTTGTAATGGTCCGTGAGCCAGGCGCAAATTTCGTCAATTATTTCCTCGCAGTCGATAACTCGTGAAATGCTCCAGAGAGTTGTATTCTAAAGCGTAGGGATCGTTAGCTGCGGCTCTGTGGGTGGGTAGAAGCCACCGGTAGCCGCCCAAAAACGTAATAAAAAAATATGAATATGTAAAGACGTATACGTCATGTACACGAACATGAAACATATATACATAACTTGAATGTCAATAAATTATTATTATTATTATGCGTTCAGTGATTTCCTCCCAACTGAAAATTTATCAGATGAAAGTTTATATATTACTGTTAACAAATAAAAATGTCAACTGACTATATCAAGCTGGAATGCTTGTCAGCTAATGCCTGGAAAGGCCCCCGGAACTGTTAAAAAAATAGAAAATTAAATTATATTTATTTATGACTAGCTGCTAGCTATAACGAAAAACAAATACTTTTCTAGCTCACAACTAATTAAGTTGTTGTTTCAGGTACAAACAGTAACGATATCGTATCTACGATGTATACTAGAACACGTTCGCTGTTACATTCTGGATCGCGATGTGGAATTGGTATACGGAGCTGTAAGGAAATCTAGCGATATCCTTACCAGGGACCCGATGCAGCTGGGTGCTCAGGTAAGAAAGGCTTTTATATTTTTATAACTGTTTCCATCATATTCAATTTTGTATAACTACCACTGCTTTCGTATGAGGCGACTCGAATGATTTTTATATACCAATAACTTTATAGAAATGGGTACAATTAGATTTTTAAACACTTATTTTTTTTTAAGTATTCTGTGGCCCATAACAGTGCAGATGATTTTACAAATGTTTTTTTTTCTGACAGAACCATAGGATTAAAAAAAAAATATAAATGAAAAGTAGAGATAAACCGAAGGGAAACAGCTTTAGACCCGTAATATGGATTATTAAGTATACTTATTACGTTAAGTAATTTAGTTAATCACCATATTCTATTCATAAAACATTATTTAAAGGTATAATCAAATTACTACTTGAGAAAGAGATAAACTAATAGACAGTAAATGTAATACATCTGTGCCTCAGAAAGCACGTTAAGCCGTCAGTCCCGGTTACCGTTAGAACGTCTGTGGGAATCGTTACGGGTTGTAGTAGTAGTAGTAGTAGTAGGGCCACCCTATAAAGTCTGACAAAAGTCTGTTTACAGAACTTCGATACCGCCTAATACTTGAGTAGTGGAGATCTGATGGCAGTCGAGCCGATCTCAACCTAGTTTCAAAAAAGGCTCGGAGGAAGAAAAATAATAGAATACAGCCTGTCGAGCTTTGGAAATTGGCTTAACGCGTACTCCTAAATTGAATAGCCATAAAGTATGTTCGTCGATGTTCGCGTAACAGAATGTTTTCGTGACATAGGGAAACAAATGTAATACAAACACTTATACTTTCGTAAATCTAATGTTAGAAACAACAGATTTGATTACCAGAAGTTGTTTGTTGTTGTCACAGTTTATTTACCGACTCTATCTACTCGCTACTATGGATAATGTTATTAATAAATAAATAATGTTATCACTGTTGATAATATTATTATTAAAATTAGCACAACCGAGTGACTAATTTAAAACTATAGAAACATAACGGCCCTGCTTACAAAATAAACTATACTCCAAACAGTCGCAACATTGTCTTTTGGAACGAAGTGCCTTATCGCGCATTACAAGCATTGCGCGGATGAGAGCAAGACCGGAAAATGGTGTAACAAGGCTTTTTTTCGACACTTCTTGCTATAGTTACAGCCGTGTCTCAACTATGTATATATATATCAACAATATACATGTTGGAGTTTTACTCGTATTACGTTATGTGAAATATGTTAATAACTCGCATGTTGAATTTGTTGTGACTAAAATCATAATTACCAAGTTATAATATTAAAGATGTGCCTATCTTAACAAATACCGATACATTTTTAATAAGTAGGACGCATATTGTTACACAACACAATGATACTACATACACACATGTAGATATTTACATAAGCCCTAAAACTTACATACACTCCTTTTTTGGGTGGTAGTCGTCAAAAAAAAGTACCTCACTATAGGGTCTAGCTATTCGTGTTTTTTTGTTTAAATTGGATGGGTGATGTATCCTAAATTATTGGCTATTACGAAACAAAACATTATGACATCAAGACCACCACATCATAAATAATAATATATACTTGGGCACCAGCTGTCTATCGGCAGGAAAGGCTGGTAATCTGTCACACAGGGCATCCTAGAACAAATACGTCTCTCACACAGATTCGTCTTCTTAATAATATTACATCTGGCCTAAGTTTCATATTGTTTTTTGTCACTTTCTGTGTAAAAGAGGAAACAAATTATTATTATTATTTGTCCGTAGATAATAGCGTGGCTGCGACCGGCAGTGGCACGACGAGGAGTACTTGCTACACTGGTTACGGCCGCCATGGCGTGGTGTGACGGATACGACAAACCATTGCTGGTACCACTAAACGGATGGTAAGAGTTCCTCATATAATATTATTTTACGATTTATAAATAGATTAAAGCAATATTGTTTAGTACATTTTGCTCTTTTATGTGTGATGATTTTCAGCTTTAGTTTTAACAAAAAGCAAATCTATATGTATACATGAATGTTAAGTTGGTTTGTGTGTACGCTTCAAAAACTTAAAAAGGTTATTCTCAAATTTTGACAGCATATACAACTCGCTCCTGCCCTGAAAGACATTTTTTTATGTATTTTTATCATCAGTTTTGTTCCTCAATGTAACAACAATGTGCTGTTAATGTTACATTAAGATCTTATTAGATTCTGCCAAGTGTGTTATGCGATATAAATTTCGGCGCAACAAGATTCTGCCAGGTAGAGGGAACCCAATATATAAAATCAGCCAACAGTAAGTTCATCTCTATATTAAAAGAGAGTTTTCTTTTCTAATGTCATACGGTATTTTGTTGTAGGGACTGCCGACATTCAGAGTATCTTTGTGTTGCAACAGAGACCTATTTCGTAATTTATAGTCTCACTTATAGGCAGTCACTGAGTAATAAGTTTAAAGAAATTGGTATTATGACAGACGCATCTCAATATATATATGAAAATTTAGTGTAGGTTAAGAAAAATATTCATTTAATCACAAGTTTAGCGACACTCATAAAATAAACTCGAAATAAAGATAAACTCGTGTTGCCACCGACTATACTACAAAAAGTAAGCAAGTCTTTTCGATGTCAGGGTGTGCGATTCTACAATAAATTCCAAGAAAATTTCATGAATTAAGTATTAACAAATTTAAGTCCTTTATACAACGAAAGCTATTGTCTGTGAAAATGCTTACTACACGGTTACAGATTATTTAGATGACAAATTTGCTTGGGATTTATGCTACTCACTCCCACATTTGAAAGTGATGAACATTTAATTTTCCGTTGTAATTCGTATTTCGTTTGTTTTAAATTTGTTTATTTGAAATTGAATTGTATAATTATTTTTTTGTGTAAGTATGTAAATGTGAGTATAGTTTAGGCTAGTGAGGTTAGATCATATTTTAGTAACTTCGTATTTTAGTAGTGTGTCTTCGTGTTTTAGGTGGTTTTGAGTGTTAAATCGGCCTACCGAAGTGCCCTGTAGGCGGTAGTGTTGTGTTCCGGGTTGTTGATCCTGACTATATCGGTTAAGCTACCGTCTGTATGGACAGGCCCACTCAATACTATGGTATTTTTTTAAACGTCCAACCAAAACCCTGTACTGTACTCACATACTTCTCTTTAACATCGTACACGGACTTAAATAAAAAAGACACCTCTGCGGTTTGGTTCGGCATTTCTTCCCAGAGTGAGTTGTAGGAAATGCCTGTAAAGTCCGACCTTTAAAAAGATCTGAAAATATTTATTTGCAGAAAAAAATAACATTTCATTATCTACCTGGAGGGGGGAGAGGGGTTGAAGGGACAGCAAGGCACTTAACGCACTTGTTACCCTTAAGTTGCATATATCTATGGACGGCGTTAGTCAGTTACCATCAGGTGACCAGTCTGTTCATTTGCCTCACTACAACCATTTCGGAACTTCTTAAGCCTTATTCTAAAGCATGCATTGTTCGAATGCTCCCGCTTTTCCAAATTTGTATCCCATAAATCTTGATTCGCATACATTGTTAGATGTTTAACGCCACTCTGTTTTGTTTTAGCTGGCAATTGAAAACATTTGTTTTTTTTATTTTTTGTGTTGTTATATAGGCCAATGATCGTCCGGACCCTGGACCCTTTGTTAGGTTAGCAAATTTACTGATTTAATTGAATTTTTGACTTAAAATGAATTCACTGAACAGAGTTGTAATATGTTCAGGTTTCAAAAATATATGTGTAAGTATAGATTTTAATTCAAATGGGATATTGTTGGAATCTTTCAGGATTTTTCTTTACTTATGTCTTGTTTTTGACCAAATTGCATGATTCTTGTGCAACGGCCAATGATTTAAGTGGGTTTATTTGAAGTTAGCAATTTAAATCTAGGGACCGCATACATTGCGGTTAGGCCGCCATGTGGGCATGTGGTAAATGGAAAGGGCTAATTGGTGGGCGGAGCTTGCTCCTCAGGGCCTTGGGCGACCTAAGTCGATACGTACAAAGTGAGGTTTTCTTTTTCATTTCTAAAACCCAGGTCCATAAAAGTATAAATATCATAATGTTGTTAGTAGCAGTTAACCAACAAGTTAATACTGAAATGAACTTCGTGTAATAGAAGGCGCCTGATATTTGTTTATTTTAATACTCTTATATACCAATAAATTAATTAATTTTCGTTTGGACCACAAAGAACATCTTATCATCTAGCTGTTCAATTAAACTAGTAGAATTATAAAAATGTCTTTTGTGTCATCAGCAGCCTTTGATAGTCCACTGCTGTAGAGAGGCTGGAGACTTTAGAAGTCCAAAACTTACTTTCTAAGAAGAGCCTTAGAAAGGAGGTTTTGGACTACTACACCACGCTAGCCAGACGGGTTATTGGGTTCGTGTCAAGTTTTCCTTATTTTTGCAGTGCTGTTATGTCCTGCATAGTTTGCTCCCTTAGTCGGCTCTTACGACACCCACGAGATGAATAAAGCGTAACAATCCGTATGCTAAATCCGTCACCACACAGACTCTTTTTGTTTCAATCTGTTGAATTCAGTTGAATTCAATTCAATCGAATTCAACAGTACAGGATCATGATACTCGTACTCGTACTTAAGAGTAGGGGGAAGTCCCGTAGCGCCGGACGGCACCTAGCGCCGGACACTCATACTATTTTGACAAACGTAAACGCGATCTATTTATAAATCGGTGAAAGGGGTGCGGGGGAACGTAGCGAGACAGGATCACGCAACGCGATTTGCCAGTGAGACGCACAGTCGTGGTGGAAGCGGTGAATTGCTGTTTTTGGTGGGAAAGCTTTGCGTCACGTAAATTTCAAGTAAGTATTACTGCTATGGTTTTATCCTTAATTGTTTTTGTTATTTGTTAATAAAGACAGTGTTTCACTATAATTATTATATTGTGAAAGTTTTTATTAAATACCTAAACAGTTTTAGTATGAAATACGTAATTTTGGACGTTTAGTGTCCCCTACTTTCGGACACAAAGGTGTCCCTTACCACCGGACAGTTTATAGGTTAGCTTTTTTATGAAGCATTTGTGCTTATTGTAATGATGATTGTTTGTTGTTTTACAGGATAGAAGGAGAGAGATATTTGAAAATGCAAGAGAGAAAAAAAAAGGAAAATGGGATCAGCAAAGTTTAAAAACTGCGATGAACAAGATTTTGTCCAAAAAAATGAGTTTGAGGGCAGCTTCGTCACGTTACAATGTTCCAAAAAGTACTCTACATGATAAAATAACGACATTGAGCAGTGGAAAAGAAGTCACGTTGCAACCAAAAGTTGGTAGATTCACAAAAACCTTCTCACCCGAGTATGAGCAAGTTTTAGTGGACCACATAAGAGATTTGTCTAATAGATGTCTGCCCCTGATGAAAAACGAGTTTTTGAAGTTAGCTTACGACTTGGCTGAAGCTATGAAGATTCCCCATGAGTAAACAAACCAAACGTGGCAATAACGACAACAGAAAGGAGCCGTTAACTGAAGTATCAAATATAGAAAAAACGATTTGTGTAGTGTGTTTAGAAGACCACGACGAGGACTGGATACAATGCTCCAGATGCCAATAATGGGCTCATGAAGCATGTGCAGACGTTCCAGAATGTGGAGATGCCTACATATGTGATAGATGCTAAAAGTTTCAGAATGTCCGGCGCTTGGGGTTTGAAGATTAACCCGTCCGGCACTAGGTGCCAATGTCAAAGTCCTTTATTTTTTTACCAAAACTTATTTAACATTTGAATTTAGAAATTTAGAATTTGTATTTTTGTTATTAGATTTTGATTTTATGTTTTGTTAATTTATAATTCATAAATAAATACATATTTCTCGATGTAGTTTTAATTTTATTTCCTGAAAACCTTATGTGTCCGGCACTAGGGGACTTCCCCCTACTGGATTTCAAGAGCCTAAGGCCTATCTGTTTTTAATTATCAGGAGGTACTAACTTAAACCTCCCACGAAAATTGCAAGCACTATCTTTTACACGGAGCATTAAGTTCAGACCAATACCTATCTATTCTAATAGTATTATTCAATTCCGTATATTGGGCACTCTTTCCACACCTGATCACAAGTATGTCCCAAATGTTCTGAGAGGTACGAGTTTGATTAAATGTTAAATGTAATCGCTAGAGTGTCTTATCTTTTATTTAATAGAATAAACTTTTTGCACATTAATATGTGTTATGGTCCGGTTACATAAACTAATCAAAAATATTTAAGTGGTTCCATTAAAGAGTACACTTCATCTATCGATCCTTAAATCTGTCAAACGTAACTGGAACTCTTCTTTTTAGTACTTATTTTGACTGTCAACTTTAGAGGACCACGTGCCATCTATTTAATTGTACGTCTGCAAAAAATAGATTGTTCGGTAGGTACATATTATAATAAGATTCAAAATATTATTAAACAATATTAATATCATCTCACAAATGTCACTTTGGTTTTTCATTTTACTCCATTTCCTTTCCGTATTTTATCCGTATTCCGTATATAAAATAAACGAATCACGTCTTATTCCTAACTCACTTACGATACGCAAGGAGAATAATTTCATAAAGGTGTGATCTTATATTTGTGAGATTGTACCGATGGGAATCAGACAGTTTGGTCTCAAGTAGGTACTAAAGCCACCATAAAAGAAAATATGCCTTCTAGGAAGAGATAAGACTTTTCGTACTATTATTTTCTACAGAGTCAGTTTAGCTAGGTCTTTTGTATCTTTTTTTAGTAAAATAGCCATCAATTTCATCACAATGTTATTCCTCAAAAAAAAACTGTGTCGATGTACTCGATGTGATCCTAAGAAAAATGTGTTTGTGTTGTTTTCTGTAAGTACACAAAATATTACTTTAGTTCCTCGTTTTAATAAAAAGTCGGTTGTCTGTAAAGTCGGTTTACTGACGATAGTTGAACGTGACAACGTCATAAGAAAATACTGATGAAATGGTTGCATTTTTCAAAAACGTATTATTGTATACGAGTAGCAGCTGTCCACGCGGACGCATCGCTCACTCAAGTAGGAGAGAGACAGATGTCGAACGCTGCCGAACGCGGAGGCCGATTGTGCCTCTTTGTCACTCGTTCCGCGCTCTCGCTTGCACTTCACGCCTTAAATGGAACGCCTCAGAGCGAGGTAACGCCGCATGAGTCATGTTTTCGTTCGAATCGAATTATAAGACGTTGTCACGTCAAAAACAAATATAATAATTAAAATTTACCCGAGACATTTTACCCGTCGTTAGTTCATAGTTCCAACCTCTGAAGCGCACTACACGACAGCAAATGGAAATCTACATTTAATTCCTAACTGACTTTGGTTTGGTTTGGTTGGTGAAATAAACCCGTATACGCTTTAGTTGTTCACAGTAAACCTGACATAAAAATTTGAGCTGTAAGCTGTAGTAATGGGAATGATAATAATGTCCTACAATGCCGTATTCTATAGCTCACAATGACCGAATTTTCCACTTCTACCGCCTGTAACATTAATTAAGTTGTTAATCGTTTTGCTTATCTACTCCATTAAGTTTTTCGTAACAAATATTTTCGGGGGTAAACTGAATTCAGCTTCCGTACCTACTCATAGACGATTATCTTTAATGACAAACTCAGGGGAAATAATTGGGTTGGCATGAAAAAAATGGTCCCATTTATCTTTTGTAAAAGTCCGAAGTTTTATTTTATCAATTCCTTATACTGGGCTACTCAGAAAAAAAGAGGGCCTTGCGAATTACAAATAATATTATGCAAGCTTAATTAAGCTGTCCTTAATCTTGATGAGTCACTTATTTGTAAGTACCAAATTTTAGTATCTCACAATAACAATTTAGTTACCTTGTAAAAACAGTTGAACTAATGAGGTATATAAATTGACTGCCTCGATGGTGCTGTGGTAGCATATACGACTGCTGTGATGAAATCTCGTTTTCGATTCCCGGAACGGATCAAATGTTTGTATGATTTACAAATATAGTATATACTGTAACTTGAATCCCAATTCTCAAAATTTTGAAACACCACAGAACGAAAGGTTGTTGAAAGGTAACTAAATCGACTAAAACCAGGTGTACTGCTCATAAGAATACTTTCTAGAAACATTCAATTTCAAAGAAAAGTCAAACTTGACGTTCCTTTAGAAACATTCCAACTGTAATTTGATGTACCTGCATTCGTAGCTCATATTTACGTACGTTCATATCTTTATATATCCTACCTACATTCATATCTTGGGCACTAGTCTCTCACAAATTTATTTTTTGTTATTGTTATGTTACATTAAGTTATGACACTGTGTATATGCATTTGTGATGAGAAATAAATAGATTATAATAATTATTATAGCAAATAAAATTTGTATTTTTGACATATAACAGATAATAATATTTCTTTCAGGTAATACTTGTTACGGAATCGCGTTAGTTTTCATATTTATACATAATAATATACCACTTCATAAAAGTTGAAATCAAAGTTGAAAAGCTGGTAAATTAGAAACGCAGTTTTACTATTTTACAGCATTATATCGAATACACGTATTACGTATCGAATACCCGAAATTGTATATATATATGCTATATATAAGGGACGAAAATTCATCTTTTTTATGATTTTCCATTTTTTTTTAAAATGATATTACAATGAGTAAACAGAACATTTCACCGAAAACAAATTAATAAATGCCGCATACATTCAAAAACTACAATGTAATTAATCAAACAGTTAGTGTGCGTAGCTCAGACTCAGAATGATGGTCTGACACTATTTCAGTATTCGTGACACCCCCCCTAAGCCCTGTGTATAGTCATTACACCCCAAAAGTCACATAGTCAATGTACATTACAAATGATCCAAATAATTGGAACATAGTTTTATTTTCAACGGAATTATAAATTTTAAACTACCTTATTGAATGAATGTTTTGAAATATGCTTCACTTATCTACATTTTATTTTTCTCACAGGCTTCAACCACCGATAGCCTCAACAGTCCGTGTAGTCTCAGTTGGCGGCTCAACTCCTGGGGCCACCGCAAGACTACTCCAGCTAGCACCTTCCGGACAGCATTTGGTTCTAGCACCATCGGCTGGAGACCCTCAGCTCTGGCATGTCATGTCTAATTCCAGAGTACACATTTTCAAAGGTCAGTTTTACCCACTTTTCAATTTAAACGGCTAAGGCATTTTATATCATTGATATAATACGTGTTTTAACTCAATGTCTTATTAGAAATGATTGCAAGTTACAACAATTATAAACCCCAATACATATTTTACGTCAAGCTACACCTAACACAAAGGACTTTTAATAGTATAGCCATAGATATAAAAAAAAAACCAGTTACTTTGTATTTAACCCACGTAATTAGCAGTCGATTACAAAATGAGAGAGAGCCATGCTTCTGCACGAATGGGCCTGCTCGACCGGAGTGATATTACGGTCTCACAGAAAATCAAGCAAAAAGCAATCCTTTCGTTGCCTTTCACTGAGTGATTTAGGTTACCGGATCCCAAATCCCCCTCCCGCTCGAGTCAGCGGGAAGGACTCCAAGGGCAGCAACGCACTTGTGACTTTTAAGTTGCAGGTGTCCATGGGCGGCGGTAGTTGCTTACCATCAGGTAACCCGTCTGCTCGTTTGCCCCCTTATACCATATAAAAAAAAAAAAACAATTTTAAAAATAAAATAAGCATAATAATAATACGCTTTTTAAATCAAGTCCACAGGCAGTAGACTAAATAAGAAACTCAGTCAATGGGGGCAAATCTTGGCCTTGACGCACGCACGCACTAAATGTTAAAATTAAATACACGAACTTTAATATTATATAACAAAATATCTTATTTCATTTTATTGTGTAAGTTGTCAGCTATTACGATACCAACCACTTAATATATTTTAAAACTATAATATTATTATATTGTATTTAAAACGTTTGAACTCTCAAGAGCTATGAAAAACACAACATAGATAATACGAAATTTAAAACGTTATCATTAAAAAAAAATTGGAATGAACAATTCTATTCAAATATTTCAATTTAGGATCAAAGCTCTTCAAAGGCTATGGTAACTAAACGAACTCAAGTTATCAATCGAAATTTATGCTGGTAAATAGGGATGTAATTCTTTATTTGAACATCATTGTTTAGATAGTCAACTGGCGATAAGGTAACAGTTTAATGTGTTACAAAAGAAATTATTCCAGTATTCAGCCGAATTCAATTTACGTTATAAATGCATAATAAAACGTACATAATAATACGTAATCACATGTTATAAATGAAAATTATCGAAACCCAGCTATTGCGAATAAATTTTAATGATCCTTTTCCTTTGTTAAATTTCTACTTCCATAAAATACCTACCTATTCGCTAATGGTTTTTTTGTGTATTCATTTTGTATTTACGTCACCATTTCTGCACCGATTTGAATAAATGTTTTTAATAGCATTGGTTGCACGCAAGGCTAGTCAAGTTAGTGGAACAAAAACTATGTAAAAAGGCTTACTAAACGGTTAAAGATTATCTAGATGACAAATTTTCTTAGGATTGATGCGGCTCACTCCCGCATTTACTACCATTTCCTTTCATTGTTGTTATGCTTGAAAGCGATGAACATTTATTTTATTATTGTATTTCATATTTTATTTGTTTTCAATTTCTTTAATTTTTCATTGAAGTTGAATTGTATAGTATGGTTTTTTTCGTAAGTATGTAAATGTGGGTATAGTGTAGGCTTGTAATGTTAGTTCATATTTAGTAACTTTCTGGAGGTTTAGAGTGTTTCATCGGCATACTCAAATGTCCTGCTGGCTGTTGTGTCGCGCTTCGGATCGTTGATCTTGACTAATATCGGTAAGGCTCCTCGATGGCTGAGGCTCGTATGCCGTCTGTATGGTCAGGCTGACTCGAAACTATGGTTCTTTCTTCAAAAGACCTACCCAGACACTACACTGTACTCGCACAGTTTTCTTTAAATTTTTTTAGGGACTTAAAAAAAATACCTCTGTTGTTTGTTTCGGAGTTTCTTCCCAGAGTGAGTCTTAGGAAATACCGGTTCCATCTAACTGTAAAGTCCGACTTTTAAAAATATCTGAAAAGATTTATTTACAGGAATAAATTTCATTTCATTTCATTTGATTGGAATTTGAAAAACAGATCTTTTTTAAATGAAAAATTAAAGGATGAAGAAAAGAGCTTATTACAATTAAGCATGATTTAGGCACATTCAAGTCGATTTTTTCTATGAACGTTGTCACACTAAAAAGTGAGTGTGTGTACACACTAAAAATATTTTTAGTGTGTAAACATACACTAAAAATATGTTCATTTTGTGTCCTGAGAATATTCTCAGGACATAAAATGAACATTACTAGCAAAGGTATAAAGTTGTGAGTAGTTCTATAAAGGAAGGATTGTCCCGAAAAGTTTGTGGAAATCATTATCGCATTTCCTACGACAGTAATTTATCAAATTTGATCAGGTTTCTTTAGAATCGATGTAGTTAGGTTACTTTGAACATTCATTCCGACAAAAGTGTTGATATGTCTCGATTTAGAGTTGAATGTAATTTGCAAGACCTTGTCAGTATAAATAAAATTAAAAAAGTACTTATTCGATCCTTGTTATTCGACGGATGTCGGACCGAAACAGGACAGATCTAAAACTTAGAGAAACTCTACGTCACGCTGATGTGTGTATCATGGCCACCGCTAATATATCTTTTTTTCGGACATGGCATGACAAAGTATCTAAAGCAGTATTTTACGAAACGGTCAGCTTTGTTTTACTTATTTACTCGATACTGGATAAATATCCAATCTACAGCTGTTTAGTTTCGTCAACCATGGTTTGAAGACAATGTCATAAGTATATACAATATAAAGATCTTCATCATTAGTTTGCTACATCAGAAATTCCAAAGGAAAACGAAATATCATTACTTTACGCACAACAGTTGAGTTTCAAAAGCACTCGAATCAAAGGAAGATTTCGATACATTATGTACTTTGAAAACAATGGGTTACCTATTTATTATGTTAGACCTTTGACAATAACTAAACAACAAAGTATTTTCAATAGTGTACGAAAGGTTATCACGAAGCGATATTACATATATCGCATTTATATTTTATTCGTCACAAGCGTGAATCCGAAATGGTTAAGAAGCAATATAATCTGACATGCTTATCTTACAATCATTTTTTTTCAAGAGCGCTGAAGAAAAAAAATATATAAGTCTGAATATTGTGGTTCCTATAGTTTTTATGTTAACATGTTTAACACACAGCGGAAACAACTAATATATATAGAAATCTCAATCTCAATAGATATCTTAATATCCGTGTAGACAGTAAACTGGCCAATCGCCTCTCAATGCCGCAATGAATCTATTTCCTGCATCGATTCCTACGGCTGCCTCGGAAATTGTTGTCCTACATGAATGAAGAAAATTTGATTCTCTTAGGATTCTTTTTCTTAAGGTCTTTTCTATTCTCTTTTCTTGTAAAAAAAGTATGTATTTGAACTTTTAAAACTTTACTAAACATTTTGTAGTTTTGAGTAATTTCTGCTGGAAAAACATACCTGTTGCATTATCACGTCGAAACTACTCGTTTGATGACGGTCTAATTATCATATTAAATTAAAGTTTTCATTTTACTATTACAGCAAAAAATTGTCTGGTTTTCCGCAAGAGTGAATTTAGTGATTAATCGTGTAATACATTACTTTAGCGTTAACCCTGATAACGTAACGATAGAGGTTTTATTTCGTCGAAAAGAAAAGAAAAAAATCTAACACATTATGTGCATTTATTTCCCTAAAAGATTATCGTTCGACTGAGCTGATACATGTTTAATCAATATAATACCTCGCTCGCATCACGAACTGAGTCAACCGAAACATATGTAATCTAGAGTGTAAAGCATTTGGTACGACATTATTAAAAACTCACTCGTTTTGAAATCTTCTATCAACGATTTCCAATGTTATTTGTTGATTTTCGGGTGCCTTTTGGGTTCTATTTAAATTTATAATCGAATCACATAAATATAAATCTCCGACGCTTCGTGTTTTATTTCCTCAAAAGCTTAATGGATACGGGTAATGCGGTATTTCCATTACAAAGTTTTTTATTTTACTACTGAAAATGATTTATTTTTTAACGATTTATGTAGGTGATTCAGTTGAAAAGGAATTTAACTTAAAGCGGATCGTAGAAATGAGCAATTTTATTAAACAGCTGTAAAAGATATCACTGAGGCGGCCGTGAATAAATTTATTTGGAGGTAATCTTCGTAACTAATGGACTCCCAGAATAATTTGCACATTTATTTCAAAATTCAATTTGGTTTGAGAGAATTAACAAATGATATTTATGAGACGTTTCGATGAATGATGTATGATGTATGAAGTATGTGAAGTACCTGCACTCCGTCTGGGGTCTATTGGGAATTGAGTCCCGCCTGTCACCACTGCGATTGCACTCAGGACTCGGCTCAGAACACACTGGCAATTTACCGGCTTGGGCGTCGCAGTGTCGGGTCCTCACTGCAGTGACTGTAGAGGGGATCTCTCGCTGCCGGCCGTCATATGCTACATGGCCGGCAGTGACTGTTGTTTTGCTACTGCTGCTTTCTGCAAAGACGTCATCTTGCAGAAGGAGGCGTCGGAGAGGGCCCGGGAGGCGGATCTCCACTCGGACTCAATTCGCCGTTGACGAACCGGGCGGTAGAGGCTCGCTTACCAGAGCCTCATGCCGCCCTGCGTGGGTCCGCGGATGGACGGGACGGTTTTTTACCTACACCCGCCATAACGGCTGCGGTTGGCCGTTATGGCGGGTGTAGGTAAGGTAGGAGGCGATGTCAGCGTGTCTAAATAGAAAATGTAGCCGAAGGTGGTGCCCGCGCCATTGCGAGCAGGCGCTAGGAGGGGTAACCAATAGCAGTTCCCGGATTCTCCTATTACAGGCGCAGAGTGGCACACCGTGTGATTTTAGTCGGTCCGATTCCGACATACCACCCCACCGCAAACCACGTTGAGGTGACGGCCCGAGGGGGTTTTCAGACTTAAAAAAGAATATGGCAAGTTTCGGATGGGGAAACATTGATCAGATTGTAGCAGGTCGCAAAAACTGGGCTG